ATTGTTATTGTATTTCCCCACGAACTGCCTTAGAGAAGGGTATAGTTTCTTAAAGAGAAAAGAAGCTATACTTACCTATTGGACATCGCATATACCTGCGAAAGGATTCCCTGTGCCGTGTCGTCGTTATAGAGTAAATTAAGAAGGCTACTACTCTGTAACATTATATTATTTAAGAAGGAAAAAAAAAAAAAATTTAACCAATTCTAAAGAGTAGAGAGATCAAAAACATCAGTATTTTTATCTTGATTTAGTGCCTTTTTGGCAAGATCAGTTACTTTTGAACGATCTTTTAAGAGAATATAAGACCTTGTTGTAGTTGTAGCTTTTCTTTGTTTACCACCTTTGACTCTTGAGGCAATTGTTTTTGTAACTTTTTCTGAACTTGATTCATTTGTTGGGGGTTCATTTAATCCACTTAACCAAGGAACATTAGTTAAACTTTTTGCATTGATTGGTTTTTGATATTTGCAGAAGTTTATATTATGAAGATGAACAATAAAAGCATCTTCATCGACTAAGAGTTTTCTATTCATAAAGAGAGTGAAACCTTTTTTTGTTGAAACGGAAGTTGAAGTAAGATGTTAAGCTAACTTAGGGTGATAACATTCTAGTTTAAGACTAGTATAATCTTGATCCATAAAGTCTTTTGTTTTGACAATTAATGTAATGTCATTTTAATCGGGATCATTTTGTGGAGGTTCAAGCACAATAGCAGTTATGTTTATTAAAAGAGGAAATGCAGATAAATTGCTTGGATCAATAAAAAGTTGAACGATTTGATGCATAATAATCTAAAAAAAATTTTTTTCTTTAAGAAAAAAAAAGTGCAAGTTCGCAGATATTTATATCTATTATTGATATTAAACATGCCTTTAAAACGGAAATTTTTTTCCAGTTTTATCTATATCTTCTATGAATTGAAATTTTTCAGATACTAGAAGTACATCTTCAGGGAAAAAAGTAGCTAAAGTTGGGTCTGGGGTGTCATCATCTATAAAATCCAACTAAGAGAATATTTAAGGGAGAAATGCTGTTTTTGAGATACATTATCCCAGCAGCTTTGACAATAGTAAGTGTCTTATTTGTTGTAGACTCTTGTTAGTCAGTGATATAACACATAGTTGTTATTGTTGACGGTATTTTTTTTTTGGTAAAAATTTAAAACACAATAAATATATGATATAGGTTCTTATTAGATGTAGGTTCTTATTATAAGATATGATAACATGTAAAAGAAGATATTGAAAAAAGTTGTTTATTTTATATAGATCCGTATATATTTTTTAAGAGTAACAGTGAACCTGAAATTAATTTTTCCTTTTCTATTATTATACTCTTAACCTTATGATATTATTTACAATACACGATTTTATATGCAAACTACTTGTACGTATTACTACTGTATCTTTTTACCATATATTTATTAAATATGTTTTTCATATGTAAGACTTTATATAATCAAATTACATTTGATTCTTTTTTATATAACTTGTAAGCACCTTGTGATTAAACATATGATTAAAATTACTTAATATTCAAATGTTTCTGACCTTTATATTTTAGATTTGTAATAAAAGAAAAATCCAAACCTATATTTGTAAGAACAGAGTAGAAGTAAAACAGGTATAAAACAGGAATCAATATAGTAATTAGTAGAGGCAATCATATGGAATCAAACTCGGTAATTATTAGTAACATACAACTTAATTAAAAATTAATGTAAATCATTTTCTTATTATATAGATCACAAATATTATATAATTCACACAATTACAATATACTTGTTTAATCTTGGTAAGGATTCAAGATTTTAAATCTGTATTACGCAATATCGGCTAGCCTAGTCTGTAAATAGTAGAATTTTTAGCGATCTTAAGTAAGTTCGGAAATTTAGGGATCATCTTACGTTATCATGTATGTATTATGAAGATCAAATAATATAATAAGGTTTACAATGGACTTAAATAACTGAAGAAAAAATCTTTTGTTATTAGTTCATTAAGGCTTTTCACTATTTTCTTTGAAGATTAGAAATTATTAATTAATCATGCTGGTAAAAATTCCAAAGAAATAAAAACAAAATTGAAAAGAAAAACATTCGAAGTTATAAATAAATATAGGTTGCAATATTCATAAGACAAACAAAAAGGTATGTTTTAATAAGTTCTGATTCTATTTTATGAAGTTTATATAATTTTTTTTTTTTTTTACTTCTACCTTATAGTAGAATTATAAAGAAGCATAAAAAGGTACAAGTATACGTAATACTATATACATATATGTATACTAGTATATTTGTATACTAGTATACTATATAGTATACTAGTATACTAGTATATTAGTATACTAGTATAGAAAAATGCAAAAAGTAAATTTTCTTTTTAAGGTATTGTGAGGAAATTTTTTTGATGATCGAATGCATGAGTATAGTACAAATTACTATAATTAGTAAAACCGCCAACCGTGTATAGCAAAGACTACTTACACCACATGAGCATATATGGTAAACTCATTACACAACATATCTGATTTTGGTAAAAAGTATCGGGCAAAATTGAATAGACTTAATTAGGAAATTCCCAATTTAAAAACAATAAATATATATATATATATATAAGAATTTAAGGTATAAAAACTATATTAAATTTTACTTTTTAAAGAATTTAATAAGTTGAGAAGATAAAATTGAATACAGAGCAGTAAAGGAATTAATTGAACAAAATGAAGTGATCAGAGAATATGTAGCTATTTACAAATATTTTTGATGGCGATTATAATGAATATTTGATGAGTTTCAGTATTTTAACGTGACAGGCACGAAAAATTTTAGGGCATTTTTACTTAGAACCAATGAAAAAAATAGATTTAAAGGTTGAAACTAAAACAGTATAAATTTTATTAACTTTTACTAACTTTTATTAACTTTTACTAAAACGCACCTAAGGTGTTTTACACCTATATGTATATTATCTCAGAAACTGCCTAATTAATCAGTGCAAGATATCACACTTTTTTTTTTGAAAAAAAAAAAATTAATAATAATAAAGGATAATTCTTTTCTATAAGGCCATATAAAATTAATTTTAGTTCTCATAATATAAAAATTTAAAAATGACCTGGCAACCTGGCTTTTAATTCTATTTTCAAAAAATTTTATATGTAAAAAACATAAAATTTTTTTACAAAAATTTAAAAAAAGTTCACCTGGATAATAAATATAGTAAAAAAATTTTTCAAAATTTGTTGAATTTGACCTGGCTGGTTATAAGAACCAATTAATTAACTTTGTATAGCCTAATATATAAAATATTCAAAACCAATAAATATTATATAAATTTTACAAATACAACAAAAATTTAAAGTAAAATATTTATTATAATATTATTATCACTCTTTTCGATTTAGTTAGATGGACACTCTGCATAAAGGTTGAGTCCGTGAATACGAGATAGATAACTACTTTATTTTCGTTGTTTTTTTTTTAAATAAAAGGGAAATATAAAAATTCTAAAATGAGTTCCACAAAATATGATGATGATACTCTTATTGCAATCACAGAACTCACAGAACTCAAAAAAATTATACAGATCATCGATCCAACTAAATCGAAAAGAACTTACTTTCCTATATCAAAATAAAAGTGCATCGAATGCTGTAAATTTTTATATGCAACAATATTGTTTTTCAAAACCAAAATTAATAACTTAGTTAAATAGTTAGTGTTTTACTCTCTGGCATATCCACGATAGAGGTGCGATCCATAAACTATTAGTTTATAAAATAAACTATAGTTTATTATATGTACTATAATTCACAGTTCATATACCATATTTTCGCATAATAACGCTTATGAGCATTATTTCGAATAATGCTGAATTAAGCTTAATTTTGGCCAAAAATTAAAATTACACCCCTGCGCGTTATTATGCGAAAGTACAGTAAGTATTGTTTATAAATTAAGATCTTTTATATATAACTTCATAATCGTGTCATGTTAATAAGCCTAGCAGTTAAAATTTGCAAGACTTAGTAATTTTCTTAAAAAATATTAGAAGTATAAACACATATATACTGGTTTAAATAAAGATTAGTCGACTAAAAAATTTTATAGTAAGCTACGTACTATGTTTAATCGACTAATTAGTCGACTAAACCAATACCTAATCTCTAAGTATAAATCCTCATAAGTTTATTTGTTTAGAAAAAATAATCAGTCAAGTCCATTTTATGATGTTATTAATTGACGAATACATGTTCACCCTTGTAGATTCTTGTAACTTTTACCAGAACATGAAATATAATTATTCAAATATTTGCTTGAACATAACGGGCATAAAACGTTTAATGCAATTTGATTTTTCATTTTGGTAACAGTCAGGGAAGATGTCACATATGTTTATATATGAGTGTAAGTTTATAATAAAAATTATAATAAAAACATATAAATT